TACAGTCTTGTGGCATATGCGGTTGGGTCATATGAGTGAGCGTGGGATGATAGAGCTTCATAAGAAAAATCTATTGAAGGGTGTCAAGACATGCAAGCTCAATTTTTGCAAATATTGTGTTCTTGGAAAATAGAACAGGGTGCAGTTCAAGACAGTCACACACAAGACAGAGGGGATTCTTAACTATGTCTATACAGATGTTTGGAGACCAGTTAGCGTAGTATCACGGGGAGGATACATGTATTTCGTGAGTTTTATTGATGACTACTCGCGAAAGGTCTGGGTGTGTTTCATGCGGCACAAGTTCGAAGCGTTTGCCAAGTTCAAGTTGTGGAAAGCTGAAGTAGAGAACCAGACAAGGAAGAAGATAAAATGCCTCAGGTCAGATAATGGTACTGAGTACACAGATTCAAAGTTCTAGGAGTTGTGTGAGTAGCATGGAATCAAGAGACACTTTACAGTCCGCAAGACACCACAACAAAATGGTGTAGCAAAAAGGATGAACAGAACGATAGTTGAGAAAGCTCGGTGTCTTGGGTTGAATGCAGGGCTTGCAAAGAATTTCTGGGCAGAGGCAGTGAATATGACATGTTTCTTGATTAACAAATCACCGAGAGCAGCACTAGATGAGAAAGTATCAGAGGAGGTGTGGACAAGTAGTGAGGTAGACTACTCTGGTTTGAGAGTGTTTGGATGTCCAGCCTATGTACATGTTTCTAGTGAAGAGAGGTCGAAGTTTGATGCAAAGTTTAGACAGTGTATCTTTCTAGGATATCAGAAAGGGGTGAAAGGCTTCAAGCTCTGGGATCCGAAGGCAAACAAGATGGTGGTCAATAGAGATGTGATTTTTGATGAAAAAGCCATGTTACAGTGCACTCAGGAAGAAGAGAAACAAGTGCCAGAAAACTGTAGCACTAATGAGCATGTGGTGCAGGTGGAGCTAGAGAACTATGGTAGAGAAGAGGATGCTCAGCATGTAGAGAGTTCTATCTCAGGTGATCAGCAGCATCACAGTATAGCCATAGACAGGCCCAAACGCAATATCAAGTCGTCTACTAGGTATGGTTTTGAAGATTTGGTTTCTTATTCGCTTATTACTAGTAGTGGGGATCCTACAAATTTNGGACAGGCCCAAACGCAATATCAAGCCACCTACCAGCTAGGATTTTGAAGATTTGATTTCTTATGCGCTTATTACTAGTAGCGGGGATCCTACAACTTTTCAGGAGGCAGTACAAAGCCAAGAGAAAAGTAGATGGATGGGTGCTATAGTGGAGGAGATGGAGTCTCTGCATAAGAACCAGACATGAGAGTTAATGGAGCTTCCCGAAAGGAAGAGAGCGATAAGGTGCAAATGAGTGTATAAGAAGAAAGAAGCAGTATCAGAAAAATAGGGGAAAAAATTCAAGGCTCGTCTAGTAACAAAAGGTTGCTCACAGAGAAAAGGGGTTGACTATGATGAGATATTCTCCCCTGTGGTCAGACACACTTCCATCATGACAGTGTTGGCATTAGTAGCACATTCAGATATGCGGTTGAAGCAGATTGATGTAAAGACAACTTTCCTTCATGGTGACTTAGAGGAACATATTTACATGGTACAACCAGAAGGGTTTAGTCTCCCTGAAGAGGAATATTTGGTCTGTAATTTGAAGAAATCAATTTATGGGCTGAAGCAGTCTCTGAGGCAGTGGTACAAGTGATTTGACTCTTACATGATCCGGATTGGCTACAAAAGGTGTGAGTATGATTACTGTGTCTATGTGAAAAGCCTTGATGATGATTCATTTATTTTTTTGTTACTTTATGTGGATGATATGTTGATTGCTATCAAGAGTATGAGTGAGGTCAACAAGTTGAAGACTTTGTTGAGTAGAGAATTTGACATGAAGGATTTGAGTGTGGCCAAGAAGATTCTTGGGATAGAGATTCGCAGGGACAGAGCTTCCAGAAGATTATGGCCATCTTAGCATAGTTATGTTGAGAAGGTGTTGGACAGGTTTAGCATGAGTTATGCAAAATCAGTAAATACACCTTTGACGAATCATTTCAAATTGTCTACCACTCAATGTCCGAAGACAAATGATGAAGTTCATGACATGTCAAAGGTCCCATATACTAGTGCAGTGGGTTGTTTGATGTATGCTATGATTTGTACAAGACCAGATTCGGCACAAACTGTCAGCGTGGTTAGCAAGTTTCTTTCAAATTCGGGTCGATAGCATTGAGATGCAGTCAAGTGGATTTTCAGATACTTTAGGGGCACTACAGACTATGACATCATGTTTAGCAGACAACAGAGTGACCCTTCAGTTGTGGGATATGTGGATGCAGACTATGCAGAGGACTTGGATGACAGGAGGTCTACCACAGGTTATGTATTTACTCTTGTGGGAGGACCTATTTGTTGGAAGTCCATGGTATAGCCTATAGTTGCACTATCTATTACTGAGTCAGAGTATATGACAGTAGCTGAGGCTACCAAGGAGGCTTTGTGGCTTACAGGTTTGGTCAAAGAGTTGGGTGCCCAACAAGGTGGAGTTCAATTGCATTGTGACAGTCAAAGTGTCATTTATTTGGCAAAGAACTAGGTGTATCATGCGAGAACCAAGCACATAGATGTGAGGTTTCATAAGATCAGGGAACTAGTTTCTTCTGGTGACCTATTACTTGAGAAAGTTCACAATTCTGAGAATGCAGCAGACATGTTGACAAAGCCTGTTACTATAGACAAGTTCAAGCACTGCTTGGACTTGATTAATGTCTCCAATTGCTAGATGGGAGATGCCCCAACTTAGCGTCCCAGGTGGAGTTCCCGAATACACGTTCTCTTTTTTCTCTTNAACTAGGTGTATCATGCGAGAACCAAGCACATAGATGTGAGGTTTCATAAGATCAGGGAACTAGTTTCTTCTGGTGACCTATTACTTGAGAAAGTTCACAATTCTGAGAATGCAGCAAACATGTTGACAAAGCCTGTTACTATAGACAAGTTCAAGCACTGCTTGGACTTGATTAATGTCTCCAATTGCTAGATGGGAGATGCCCCAACTTAGCGTCCCAGGTGGAGTTCCCGAATACACGTTCTCTTTTTTCTCTTAAATGAATATTTGTCAAGCTAGAGATTGTTAGAGTATGTGTGACTCATATTTGCTATGTGCACAATGACAAGGAGGCAGATGTCGGAGCGGAGCCCACGACGGCATTTGCCTTGCAGGATTGATATATTTTATGTATGGGAGGGACGCTGATTAGTTGGGGGTGCGGGGCAACGCCCGCGCAGTACGGTACATGGGTATTTTGTAAATACATCCGTACTAGAATTATATAAATACTTAAGATGTAACCCTACTTTAAATAATGGAAAAGAATGAGCGTTCGCTCCTGTGGATGTAGACATATTACCGAACCACGTAAATCTCTGTGTTATTTTCTCTTACTTTTCTTAATTGTTTGATTCCTTATTATTCACCATAATTAATGCACGTTCACAACAGTGGTTTTGGCTCACACCCCCAGAGAAGGAAACAACTGTGCAGATCACGTTACTGTTTTTGGCGTTTGTTATTAGCAGACATCTCTATTCTTGTTTTATTAGGTAAGACATCTCTATACTTGTTTTATTAGGTAATTGACGATCCCTCCAAAACACAAAAAGAATAAAGAAAAAAAAAAGATAATTATATTTACCAAATGTTGGTTGTTGATCAAAGAACACATAATTTTGTAATTAATTAAATAAAAATTCTAGAATTTCAGAAAAGTGAAAGGAAAGACTTCTCAAGTCTTCTCCCCAAAAAAATTGGAATGAAAGCCAACGTTTATTTTTCATCGGTGAAATTGTCAGTATACAATTTTTGTAGTATTTTTAAATCTTGAAAGATTTTTCGACGTCAGTATAAACAACATATATTCCAAACGCCGGAATTGGCAGTTGTTAGGCGAGGCTTTTCAAAAATTTCTTGTAGTGGGTGTCACCATAAATAATACGTTTTATTTTGGTGATTTTTCTTTTTTGACCATTTGATCCTCTGAATCATATAATCAACAGTACACAAATCTAACAACAGTGATGTTGAGTATTATGATAAAATTGTCCATCTATTACAAGTGCAAAAGAAGCAGAAAAGCCCTCAACATCGATTCTTGTACTATATAGTATATAGTAACCAACCGATAATGAAATGCATATCTATAATATTATAAAATTTATTTATAATCCTAATCTCCCTACTAACTCCTGAAAAGGGTAATAAAAAGCCTCTCCTCTGTACATGCAATTCCGAATAAAAGCGTCTCCTCAACAACCTGAGCTGGAACATTTTGGGGGTGTCCTTGGAGCTGCATGAGTTTACACACAAAATAGAACAAATTTAGTACTACAACAACAACATGGTTCCATAACAAATATAATTCTGGTTGACCGTTGTTTAAATTTCTCAATCTTTTGGGTCGGGTTTGGGTTCATTGCTTTTGGAACTTTTTTTTCATTAATTTATTATAGACTAAGTGTGTTTCGGGAGGCCATCTTCCGTGGGAATTATTTTGTAAAGGAATCTCTAACATTTACTCAAATATTGACTAAAATGTAAATTTAAGTAAAAATAAGCTTTGACCCTTTATTCAAACTCAAACAACGAAGAGATAATCAAATTTGAGTTTGTCCATTTGAATGCATTTTATTAAACGAAGCGTTTCACTCAAAAAGTTGATTTAAATGTGAAAACAAATTTTAATCAAAGTTGGAGATGACCTAAGCTATCGTCTCTTGACATGCATTTGAGTTGTATGTACGTAATCGTATATCATGTTTTTATTTTCTAAAAAAATAACGGTACATTATACTTAGAAGTTAGAACCCCTTAATTATGGACACAATTGTACGTTTTACTTAGAACTATTGAATATTTTAGATTGTCTCTCAACTATTTGAATTATTTTACGTTGATCCAAAGGCAGAATTTACTAACTTTATGGGAGCAAAATAAAATATATTTTTTTATCAAATTTGTAACGAATGTTAACAGTTGAAGGAATATGAAATTAATCAGATAGTTGAAGGAAAAATATAAAAAATATGATAGTTAATAGGATAATGTGAAAAAAAGTCATAGTTGAGGGGGTTAAAGTAAAAATTATCCAAAGAGTAATTAGTTTAATTAGGAATGCAATGCAAACAAAAAATTTCGAAAAAAAAAAAAACATCAAAGAGGCACAGAACAACTACCAAATCCAATTGCCTCCGAGTATTTCATCAACCTAAGTCGTTTGCATGATTCAACAAACATTCTGCAAAAGAAAAAGTTAAAATAAATTAATTGACGTGGACATAATTTTACTACTTATCCACAAAATACAACAAACACATACATATGTGGACACATCAAAAAAAGAAAAAAAAAATTGGGTATTGCGACCAAAATTGTTTGGGCTAATATACATATTTAATCAAAAACAGTATATCCATGCTGAAACTAATAAAGTCACTCTTATAAAATATTTTTAAGTTTCAAACTCCGATGCTGTGAATTTATAATCGCCCCCTGTATGACCGCCGTATCCTTTGTTTACACACACAAAATTAAAGGTCATTCCAGAAACTTACTTCCAAGGAACGTCTCCTACTAACATCCAATCCCCATCTTTGTCCTCGTATGTTGGTACATATTCCACTCCATTCAAGGGGTCCATCAGCCTCCTCTCATTCAGAACATCACCTGAATCAACAACAAAATGACTTAGTTTTCAATGATCCTGAATCCTGACACAAATAGTATCTTATTTATTTTGTCTTCTTTCGGACTTTTTCTTGTCTGATTCTTCGTTATAATAGCGTATGTCAGGAAAAAAAAAATAGTGTATGTCACTTTTATGACTTGATCAACACACAAATCCTATAGTACTTACGAATGGTAAAGCAAGTGAACATTTCCTCTAATGCACCCAACAGCTGCTGGTAACTGCAATACATCTCCAGATCAACTTTTCTCAGATATGGAGCTCCGTCCACCGCTACCTTTACGTACTTGCAATTCTTCATCAAGTTCTTCCTGAAAGCTCTCACCGGTGGCCATCCCACCTTTTGTTCCCTGAAGATCAAAACCCATGTATACCAGTTATTATCTACTTCACCATTACTCTCAAAAAGGGTACATATCTGTAACGCCGTTATTATGTACCACCATACATATACATATATATATATATATAGATATTTACGAGTTTGAGTAGACCACTCCCTTAAATTCTGAGCCGCTCAAATGAACCCTTCAATAGAAAACTTACTTTGCTGTTGGAGGTTTTGTTGTGCCAGAGATTTCATTTTCCGACTGCTCTTCTTTTCCGGCACTAGTGCTGCCTGGACACAAATCAACCGTCTCCGAAAACCCACGTTTTGTCCCGGACTTTTGTGTTCTAGACTCACCCGGTAAGCCTAAAGTCAGCTCTGTTTCCTGCAAATTCATGCCGGAAGTTTCAAATTCCGGCGACACTTTTGGTTTCTCCGATGACATTTTTTTTCTCTCCTTTGGTGGGCTGCAATGTTGGTTGGCTCTTCTTATTACTTGACTCTGTTGGTGAATGAGAGAGAAAAATCTGACCACCAAGCGCGTTTGGCTGTTCTTCTATTTTTAAAGTTTGAGAAATCTGGCCGCCATCTACTAGTGGACCAATCTTATTTGGACACGTGTAAGTAATGAACGGCTATGATTTATCCAATGTCACTGAAAACGGCATGATGGAAAGCGTGTGTCTCTGATTTTGAGTGCTTTTAGTTTGGGCCCTCGACCAGGTCGACACGGTCACTTTCATGATTTCATTACATTTTATTATATATGTTGCGGGAGTTATAATTCTGTGTTTTTATTGCACTCCGAATAGATCTGTGTGAGTGTTTTTCAATACTTTCCACCGGTGAAAAGGTCTTGTTGTGGCCAACTATTAGGTAAGTTAGGCTTGAAGTAGTTAAATAAATTAGTTAGAATTGGGAAAGTTCACTAGTCAAAGGGATGGGGGCCAACTATTAGACAAGTTAGGCATGAATTTGATAGATCACTTAGAAAATTAGCTTTGAATTGCATATATATATATATTCTCCCTTTCTAAGTGTATATATATTTGACATCCAAAAATAATTTTAAACGTCTTTTAGGATTGTGGTTGATATGGTGCATTGTTGACATAAAATTCTGAATGCTTTCAATTGTTCATGGAACATATACACGAGATAGTTAATTAGTTTTTTTTGCAGTAACCATTATTCTTTACTCTTTTTTTTGTTTGTTACAGATATTTAAACTTATATCGACTACTTTTTCGAGTTAAAATATTAGTTATCGTAGTTTGAACATGTTTAAAACATATTCCCAAAGTAATAAGGGCGATTGACTTTTAAAGAATATAAAAAATGTTGAACATGAGTTCTCTAGGCTATCTGACTCTTGAATTACCAAATATCAAACTTAAACACTCAATTACTCATAAAAATTGATAACCATTATTCATTAGAACTTCATCTTTCTTACAATTGTTGCATATTTCTCTCCCTTACTAAACTAACAGGGATTCAATTATTACAAATGGTCCAATAGTTTTTTATCAATTATATTCTTAAAGAAATATCTATTCGTTATAAAATCTCATGTTTTAAAGTATGAATTTCATATAATCAAAATAAAAAAGAACGTGATATATTCAAAATATATTAAATATAATAAATATCGTAAAGTCAGAAATAATATAAATTACAAATCAATTACTTCATGGTAGTTGATCTATATTACAATTCAAAAATAAGGCAAAATTGCATACATTTCTTTGGTACAAACTTCTCTTTTGATACAATAGCAAACAAATAAAACTTCTCAATTAATAAGTAGGCGAACATAATAATTATTATTATTATTCAACATCTTAAATTAGAGGTGAGGGTGCGTAGGTGTTGCACATATCGGCGCATCACAAATGCAAAATTATGTGCTCGTGTGTGTGAAGGGGGGGATGAAAGGAGACTGGGACCCAGATGTCGGGGTTCTTTAGGAGTAAATATTGCTTGAGTCATGCGCTAGAAGGGCTATTAGGATTTTGGGTCCCATAGACCAGCATGTGATTGTGTTTGGTTTGTCGGTTTATGGTTGCACTTTCAGACAGGATTACCATGATTACCTTTACACCCGACACGTGGTAATTTCGAACCTGTGTTCCGCCCCCTGGCTTTTGTGAATTTCTAGATAATCCTATGCTTCTTTTTCTACAGACAGAAAAAAAACTGATAAAAAACTACATATATATCCAATAATCACAGTCTGCAATTTTAAAATTAAATACAGGGTGTATTAAGTAAATGAGCTAATAGCATTTTTATTTTATTTTTAATATCCAGCTGTCCCAATAGATTATCGTAGTACTTCTAACTCACATATCGAACTAGTACTAGATCTTGTACAAAATTACCTCTCCACACAAGAGATAAATCTATAAACAGTAGTAGATTGGTGGTTGTGGACATAGAATTCCAATCATTAGGTTGTAGGTTCAAGGGCCGATAGAGAGAGAACATAGCCCCAAAGGACTATGTTTTGTGGAATATCAAATTTCTAGCCTATCTTTTATGAGAGATTTATCAGGTAATTGAACTACTACTAAACTAATCACATTTTACTTCTACAAAAATTTTAAGAATTTCAAGTTACCCTTTATATAGCAATCGTGAAATATTGTCACTTTAAAAAGGGTTCTCACAAATGCAATGTAATATTTGACAAAGTATATTCAAAAAATATATATATTCTCTTGTATATATTCATTTAAAAAAAATATTGATTTGAAAAGTTTATAAATTTCCCTTTCTTTAAGCTTTCCATCAATTAAAAATTAGATGGAAAATAATCACTAAAAATTGCCCTTTTGACAAGGGCATTTGTGGCAATCTGATTTGATACCCCACACTATCAATTTAAAAAGATATTTTAATAAAGTCATCAAAATTAAGTCCAATAATATTCCTTATTAAAGATGCATTCATACATTTGTTTAGTTTAGGGTTTGATCAGGTCCTTGGTTGCTGTCTTCAATAAGTCTTCACGCTGATTGGATTACTTATTTTTTACGCTACTACAGAAACTCAGGATTCGAGCCTCCCCTAGACATGCATTCATGCATGTGATCAGAAGCCATTAATGGAGTTGTCTGTTGAGTTTCCCTTTTCAATAGGAGATTTTTAGGGTTTGCAATTGAATGTATTGGCCAAATTTTAATGTTAGTGCATAGTACATGTCATTCACATGGGTGTTCATGTGAATAGGAAGATGGTCTAAATTAATCCCATTCCCTAGTGGATTAAATATGGGACATAAATTTCTATTTTTATTTTTAATTTAATTGTCGGGAGTGTTCAAATCTACTTACAAGCACTTTAACTAATTCCTTTCTTAGTCCAATAAAAAATAAATCATCTATGCTGAGATTAGGATATTCGTGAAAGATAAATCTCTCATGGTTTGTGTTGGGTCTTTGTGGAGTCTAGTTTGTGAGTTGATCTGGGATGATGACCCGACTCGAAATAATGTTGCGTNATATATATATAGATATTTACGAGTTTGAGTAGACCACTCCCTTAAATTCTGAGCCGCTCATCGCAGCTCGAGCTAATTATAAGATACGTAGATACATATCCATCTATGTGGGTAAGAAAGGTAATTTTCTATGTCGAAAACTAGAATTTAAAGGTTAGGTTATGAGTATCAAGGATTAAGTTACAATTCTTTGAGGTTATTTGTTATAATAATAAAATCTTGTGATCGATCATGTATGACCCATAAAATGTGCAATTTACCTTAAAACATATGCATATTTGTGTGTGAAAGCTAAAATCATTTCACACCAAATGTTAGGAGTAAACAAGAAAATGAACCCTTCAATAGAAAACTTACTTTGCTGTTGGAGGTTTTGTTGTGCCAGAGATTTCATTTTCCGACTGCTCTTCTTTTCCGGCACTAGTGCTGCCTGGACACAAATCAACCGTCTCCGAAAACCCACGTTTTGTCCCGGACTTTTGTGTTCTAGACTCACCCGGTAAGCCTAAAGTCAGCTCTGTTTCCTGCAAATTCATGCCGGAAGTTTCAAATTCCGGCGACACTTTTGGTTTCTCCGATGACATTTTTTTTCTCTCCTTTGGTGGGCTGCAATGTTGGTTGGCTCTTCTTATTACTTGACTCTGTTGGTGAATGAGAGAGAAAAATCTGACCACCAAGCGCGTTTGGCTGTTCTTCTATTTTATAAAGTTTGAGAAATCTGGCCGCCATCTACTAGTGGACCAATCTTATTTGGACACGTGTAAGTAATGAACGGCTATGATTTATCCAATGTCACTGAAAACGGCATGATGGAAAGCGTGTGTCTCTGATTTTGAGTGCTTTTAGTTTGGGCCCTCGACCAGGTCGACACGGTCACTTTCATGATTTCATTACATTTTATTATATATGTTTCGGGAGTTATAATTCTGTGTTTTTATTGCACTCCGAATAGATCTGTGTGAGTGTTTTTCAATACTTTCCACCGGTGAAAAGGTCTTGTTGTGGCCAACTATTAGGTAAGTTAGGCTTGAAGTAGTTAAATAAATTAGTTAGAATTGGGAAAGTTCACTAGTCAAAGGGATGGGGGCCAACTATTAGACAAGTTAGGCATGAATTTGATAGATCACTTAGAAAATTAGCTTTGAATTGCATATATATATATATTCTCCCTTTCTAAGTGTATATATATTTGACATCCAAAAATAATTTTAAACGTCTTTTAGGATTGTGGTTGATATGGTGCATTGTTGACATAAAATTCTGAATGCTTTCAATTGTTCATGGAACATATACACGAGATAGTTAATTAGTTTTTTTTGCAGTAACCATTATTCTTTACTCTTTTTTTTGTTTGTTACAGATATTTAAACTTATATCGACTACTTTTTCGAGTTAAAATATTAGTTATCGTAGTTTGAACATGTTTAAAACATATTCCCAAAGTAATAAGGGCGATTGACTTTTAAAGAATATAAAAAATGTTGAACATGAGTTCTCTAGGCTATCTGACTCTTGAATTACCAAATATCAAACTTAAACACTCAATTACTCATAAAAATTGATAACCATTATTCATTAGAACTTCATCTTTCTTACAATTGTTGCATATTTCCCTCCCTTACTATACTAACAGGGATTCAATTATTACAAATGGTCCAATAGTTTTTTATCAATTATATTCTTAAAGAAATATCTATTCGTTATAAAATCTCATGTTTTAAAGTATGAATTTCATATAATCAAAATAAAAAAGAACGTGATTTATTCAAAATATATTAAATATAATAAATATCGTAAAGTCAGAAATAATATAAATTACAAATCAATTACTTCATGGTAGTTGATCTATATTACAATTCAAAAATAAGGCAAAATTGCATACATTTCTTTGGTACAAACTTCTCTTTTGATACAATAGCAAACAAATAAAACTTCTCAATTAATAAGTAGGCGAACATAATAATTATTATTATTATTCAACATCTTAAATTAGAGGTGAGGGTGCGTAGGTGTTGCACATATCGGCGCATCACAAATGCAAAATTATGTGCTCGTGTGTGTGAAGGGGGGGATGAAAGGAGACTGGGACCCAGATGTCGGGGTTCTTTAGGAGTAAATATTGCTTGAGTCATGCGCTAGAAGGGCTATTAGGATTTTGGGTCCCATAGACCAGCATGTGATTGTGTTTGGTTTGTCGGTTTATGGTTGCACTTTCAGACAGGATTACCATGATTACCTTTACACCCGACACGTGGTAATTTCGAACCTGTGTTCCGCCCCCTGGCTTTTGTGAATTTCTAGATAATCCTATGCTTCTTTTTCTACAGACAGAAAAAAAACTGATAAAAAACTACATATATATCCAATAATCACAGTCTGCAATTTTAAAATTAAATACAGGGTGTATTAAGTAAATGAGCTAATAGCATTTTTATTTTATTTTTAATATCCAGCTGTCCCAATAGATTATCGTAGTACTTCCAACTCACATATCGAACTAGTACTAGATCTTGTACAAAATTACCTCTCCACACAAGAGATAAATCTATAAGCAGTAGTAGATTGGTGGTTGTGGACATAGAATTCCAATCATTAGGTTGTAGGTTCAAGGGCCGATAGAGAGAGAACATAGCCCCAAAGGACTATGTTTTGTGGAATATCAAATTTCTAGCCTATCTTTTATGAGAGATTTATCAGGTAATTGAACTACTACTAAACTAATCACATTTTACTTCTACAAAAATTTTAAGAATTTCAAGTTACCCTTTATATAGCAATCGTGAAATATTGTCACTTTAAAAAGGGTTCTCACAAATGCAATGTAATATTTGACAAAGTATATTCAAAAAATATATATATTCTCTTGTATATATTCATTTAAAAAAAATATTGATTTGAAAAGTTTATAAATTTCCCTTTCTTTAAGCTTTCCATCAATTAAAAATTAGATGGAAAATAATCACTAAAAATTGCCCTTTTGACAAGGGCATTTGTGGCAATCTGATTTGATACCCCACACTATCAATTTAAAAAGATATTTTAATAAAGTCATCAAAATTAAGTCCAATAATATTCCTTATTAAAGATGCATTCATACATTTGTTTAGTTTAGGGTTTGATCAGGTCCTTGGTTGCTGTCTTCAATAAGTCTTCACGCTGATTGGATTACTTATTTTTTACGCTACTACAGAAACTCAGGATTCGAGCCTCCCCTAGACATGCATTCATGCATGTGATCAGAAGCCATTAATGGAGTTGTCTGTTGAGTTTCCCTTTTCAATAGGAGATTTTTAGGGTTTGCAATTGAATGTATTGGCCAAATTTTAATGTTAGTGCATAGTACATGTCATTCACATGGGTGTTCATGTGAATAGGAAGATGGTCTAAATTAATCCCATTCCCTAGTGGATTAAATATGGGACATAAATTTCTATTTTTATTTTTAATTTAATTGTCGGGAGTGTTCAAATCTACTTACAAGCACTTTAACTAATTCCTTTCTTAGTCCAATAAAAAATAAATCATCTATGCTGAGATTAGGATATTCATGAAAGATAAATCTCTCATGGTTTGTGTTGGGTCTTTGTGGAGTCTAGTTTGTGAGTTGATCTGGGATGATGACCCGACTCGAAATAATGTTGCGTGATTTTTAATGAAAAATTTTCTGACGCTTGGTACATGGAGCGAAGGCTTGGGACCTGTTTTGTAGTCCGGTAGGCAGGATATATAAAAACTGATACTTTGGTGTTTTAGGGTTTTGATTGTAACTGAAAGCTGCCCTCTGTAATCTCCTCTCTCAATAGTGAAATCCCTGCAGTTTCGTGGACGTAGGCAATTTATCGAACTACGTAAAATCTTTGTATCTTGATCTTTCTTGTTTCTTATTGTTTTATATTCTTTATTTGTTCTTCAATTATATGTGTTTGTCTGTGAATTTAAAACGTGTTAAATCCCAACAGTTTGATCTCAAGAGATTACCAAAATTTAAATTCAATACAGCTGAATTTACAACTCATATTTGTAGCCAATTGATTTATACATACCCTATTATAGTTTTACCAAAAGATAATTAAAGAGATTTAAACCACAATTCCATGTCTCATCCTTTAGTTCTATTTGTCGATTTGATAAGGCATAGCATATTTTCTCATCCATGGGGTCATCCCAACTTGCTAATGAAAAAAAAAATTATACTAAAGTCCTCTAAGATTTTGTCATATCGATGCAAACGGGATTGCTAATGGTTTTGTTAATACAAAACATTAGTTGTCAATTATTTTATCACTGTGAGATAAACTCCAAGAAAAATTTTAGGGTTGGCACATTCATGTATTGGCCAAATATGTATTAGCACATCATGTCATTCACATGGGGTGTGCTTTTGAATGGTCTAAATCTCACCTAAGTGGTGTAAACATATGGTACATAGAATGACGTGATAAAAAAGTTATTATTGTCTGGCCAAATAACATGTAATTTAATTTGGTCCACCATTCATATGTCTCATCTTTTAGGTCTATTTCTTGAATTGATAAGACAACACATATTTTCCAATCCATGGTGTCAGCTGGCCGGATCTGTTAGTGGCATTAACTCAAAAGCAGAAGACTACGAATTTAGTTCGAATGTTAGACATTTATTTCTTACAAATATTTCAGTTTAGTGTGATTGATATGTTTTTAATCAGATGGAATAAAAAATTATTCGAGATATACATAAATTATTTTAANATGAATATAATACAACAACATGGGCTACAGTTTCCCAGGTTTTCTGCTTTTCGTTTCTTTAAAAGAGAGGTTCTTAGTGCCAACAAAGTGCATGCACTGTTGGAAGTAATGGTAGATTAGCTAAAAACGGGAACTAAAAATAGGATTAAATGATGTGATATTATTATTATAGTGTTTTTTGTTTCATTTTTACGTGTTTAAAATTTAAATTTTTTTTATTATGATAATATCATGTTATTTAGTTCTTGTTTTTTATCTTTTTTTTTTTTGTCGGTCTAGCATTGTTGGTTAATAAAAATACGAGTTCGGATTGACGGGAGGACTGATACAACAAGTAGGACAATTGCCTTCAAAGAGACATGGTAGCTAGAACAATACTCTATTAGTTTTTTTCCAGAGTTTTTGTTATTAACAACATCTGTCAATAGGGACGGAATCAAGATTTTATCTTTGAAAAGGCAAAACAATGTCATAATTAGTAAAGTTATTTAAAAATGTTATTTAACATAATATTGTTAACGATAATTTCTAGTCGTACAAAATCAAATAAATTCAATTTTTAAACAATCCACCTAAAATGTTTGGGTCATAAAATCTAAAATTGGTTTTTATCATCTTAAAAACTAATTTATTGTTCTGCCATATCCATTAATTTCCTCATTTATGGCATTGTATAATGGCTATGATATTTACAAATAGAATAAATTACATTTAAATCCCCTAAAATTTGTCACTAAAACACATAGACCCCACAGGTATGACATCCTGTTAGTAACAATCGACTAACACACCAAACATATCTAAAATAAGTATTTTACCCTTATTTAAAATAAATAAAACCAGCCTCAGCTAACCCATATTATATCAAAGTCCGACCTGACCCGCACGCTTCGCCATCACTTCTAGCTATGCCTCCAAAATGCACAAAACATCTCTTCTCTCTTTCTCCATTGCCCACCATTGACCTAGGGATGTCAGTGGACCGAAGCAGGGGCGGGGAGTGTAGTCTTCATCCCCGTCCCCGCTTCCCCCGTTCACGCCTATGCCCAAGCCCAAATACCATAATCCAAAATTCTAAATAAATCTAATATTTTAAATAATCTAATAACATTCTAATATAGTCTAACACAATATAATGTAGATTACAAAATGT